TGTTTATTTGGTAAACGTACACTCGCTCCGTTTGGATTCATTACATTTAGAAATGGACAGAATCACTTTACTTAAGATATAGTCGTCTATAAAATATACAGTTGACCAATAATTTCATTGCTAAGTTTTTTCAGTAATTTAAAACTATTTTATCCATCCTCAAAGAATATTACTTTAATGAAAATGTATTTAAATTCGTATTTCATCCTCAAAAACAAAGTCGGTAAAACATAGAAGAGTAACCAAACAGTTTTACACTCCAGAGATACATAAATACTAACTTTCATAATGGATTTAGTAAAAAGGGGCAAAGTAAAATAAGAGTATCCTGCTAGATAGTACCCGGGTTAACCATACATTACTTGCTATTCTAAAACTTTAGACAGTCTTACTTGAATTCAAAACTATGTTCTTTTCTCTTTTACACGCTTATATTAAAGTTTCAAAAGATAAATAACTTTAGAAAATGTTTAAAACACTGTTATTTACTCCTCAAGAGTATTTATACTTGCAATAAACTTATTTATTTTGTAGAATTTTTATGGTTAGAGAACAATTAATAAGAATCATTAATTATAATCAAGGTTTTCAATTGCAAACAAATGTGTTTCCAGATTAAACAAAATAACATATTTAAGTAGTTTTTTCTAGACGTTGAAAATGTGTCTTCTTTCATAAAATATTAAACGGTTAAAAATGTTGAAATAAAATCTCAAAGTAAATTTTATAAATAGTTTTTACAGTTTAAAAAATTATCTAAAATTAGATTGAATTTTCGTTTCATAACATAACATAAAATACGATATTCTAAAATATGGAGTACGATTGATGAATTGTAAGGGTTTTTTGATAATACTGTTCACATGGGGAAATATATTTGAAACTCGACCAATGGCAATTGATTACATTCATTTCTGGACACAACAATTCAATTTCGTCGAGTATTGAGGCCGATTTTTCAGACACAGATTAATTGAAATAAGCTATATTATTCGGGAAAGTATTTGTCTGTATTGGTATGGTTTTCAGAGATTTTCTTCCATAACATTTATTTTCTAACAAGCCTTTTTTTCTATTACATGTTTAATTTGTATGTAGCTTTTTTAATAGATTTGCCTATTTACTTAGAGTTTTGTAAAAGTTTCAAAAAAAAAGTGTTAAAGCATCAATATTTTTTGCAGTTTGTTTGGACAAAAGTAAGAATTGTTATTAAATATTAACATATATTAAGTCCATATATTAACATATGTTAAATATCAACATATATTATATTTAGTCCATACATGTTCCCATACGAGATCAAATATTTCAGTGGTCACGATAAACTTTAAATGAATAGAGTAAATTTGTAAAATGGTTCATGTTCCTAGAGAATTTTTCTATATTATTTGAATCAATATACATAAATGCGAATCATACTCAAATTTACTAGTTTTATTATAATACTAATAAACTTTATTACCGTGATACTAAAAGACAAAGTAAACATCTCAAGTGTGATGATTTTATCCTTGCGTAAGACAAACTATGCCAAAGTAGCAGGGGTCAGATGAATACCCGAACCACCCCAAAATAAGACAAGCTAGGATAATGTTGTCAATTATTTCATTTTAATTGTTAAACGTATAGGCTACGTTATTATACTAATAATTCTCAAGTTACTTTTACAAGTTTTTTTAGAGGGCAATATTAACAAACTTATATTATAACCACAAAAGGCAATCAAAACTGAAGATTTATTGTACAACCTTTTACTTTAAGATTTGTTCAACAAATCAACATGTTGAAAGGGTTTAAATGTTAATTACAAAATATTGATAAATATACCAACATCATTCCATTCGAAAGCCTTCACAGCGTCTGTTATGAACACAGTTTTTATAATAATAATTATTTAATTTTTAGAATATCACAGTTCAAAAGCTCGTATTTCAAGGCTCCATACGTTTAATCAAATCCAAACATATAAAAAAATTACTTAATCCATTTGGAATGAAATATAATATCTCAGTCTTCATTCACATAATATACATAAACTAGTCAATTTAATTACTAAACCAAACAATATTTGAAATTTGAAACGATATTTCTAGTATTTCAGCGTAGGCCTACTGTATTGTTTCTAATCCTCCTTATTCACCTGTGTTTTAAATAAAGTTTCACATCAATTACATACTTAATAACAGGAAACTGGTTCAAATTAAAAGAAAATTGTTTGGTAATTCTAACACATTAATAATGGTATTCCACTGACGTTTGCATTGACTTTTTTTACTAAACGCTTAATTTTATGTTAAAATTAAAACATAGAGAACAAAGGTAATTAATTTATGTTAAGCCATAAGCGAGCGCTATTTGAAAGGTGTAAACGCGTAAACAAGCAATTCCAATCACCTGGTTTGACAATTAACTCCGAAATTACGTTTGTTATTGCCAACTGAATGTTGATAAATAATAATTTGCTTAGTTTTGCAGATTATCTAATAAGCAAAATATCCCCGTCCCAACAAACCTGCTGACTAACGAATTTCTATTTGCCTGATTTGATTTACACTTAAATATTTTTCCTTAAACGTGTCCTATTTCAATAACATTAGGTTTAACGAGTACGTAAGTGTGCTGCTACAGAGATGGTAATAAAGTGTGTTTTAGTCAAATGTTAATAGCGTGGTATAAAATAAATAGTTTTGTCAAGTTTAATCAAAGGATAACGATAAACAAAGAAACCGCAACAGTTTTCTTATTGTTTATTCCGAGAGCAGCAAATATAGGTTGTTCAAAAATTCTTCAACTAAAAGCAGCTGTTTTCATGTAAATGTTACAAGATATAAAATACAATGCTATCTTATGTTTCCTCATTGACTTTTAACCTTATGTCAGCAGCTCTCCTGTACCTGTCAAATATTTTTATATTTCAAAATTTCCTGAAATTATTTCATTGGTGTCAAGCAGAGTAGTTGATTATCATATAGGTTGTAACTAACAATGTTTTATCAAAGTAAGTTGACATTCAAAATAAGCAACTTGAGTGCAACTTGAGAAATCGTATGCACTTGAATGAATAAACATTACAATAATTTATTACCACAAAATATTATTGCCAACTACAAAAATGTTCTGTAAAGATTTATAGCCTTAAGAAAAAATTAGTTGGAAAATTGATTACATTTTAGCGAATTTCCCTATGGGGAAGTAGCTATTGTTGCACTATTGTTGTAGTTGTGTAGTTGTGTAGGTGGCACGGTAAGACCTAGACCCAGGACCGAGATTTACTATTTCATTTTGATGTCCCCAGAGGCCAAAAACACCATTCTTTCAAATTTTTATATATGTATATATATATATATTTATACTTTATATAGATTTATATATACACATATATATTATATATATATATATATCTATATATGTATATACACGTCCAAGAACGCGATAACTTGAGTAATTTTCGTCCGATTTTGATGAAATTTGGTTTAAAGGTGTAAAGCGAGATAAACTTGAATGAGTTCGCGAACCAGCATGATCGGACCATGGGAACGGGGCTTTACGGGGGGTTTTATGGGGTAAAATTGGTTTTTCTCACTTTTGACCCTCAAAACACAAAATTTCCCAATTTCTATTTAGACATTTTAAAAGAGCTTAAAAAACAAATAATTTAGTATATAAAAGTATTTTTGTTCAGTTATTGGTACCGGAGAAAATTAAAAAAATTGTAAATTTAAAATTCCCATGTTATTCTTACGGAGAATATTGTAAAATGTTGTAGTTTGCTTGTTTATGGATATATTTTTATCAAACTTGACAAATTTATTTATAAGCTATCAATATTTTACAAAAAACACACTTTATTAGTTTCCTTGTAGCAGCAAACCTAGGTACTCGTTAAACCTAATGTTATTTAAATATATTTAATTGAAAATCAAATCAGACAAATGGAAATTCGCTTAGTCGGCAGGTTTGCTGCGGCGGGGGTATTTTTCTTATATCTTCTCCAGAATGGCATGTTTCAATTAAGTCATTTAACCGCTTTTAAGGGAAAGATGTCCAATCCCAGTGCTATGCTATTTGCCGGGAATCGAATCCGTCCTTCCCTCACCGAAGTCCGAGACGTTAACTACTAAGCTACACAGTCAACAATTATTATTGCGTATGGTTATAGTTATTACCAATACTACATATTACGTATGAATATTAATCTACTTAAAATGTGCGGTCGGACATTGTAAGTTTTCGTCGGTAGGCCTACTCGTTTTTATTCGTAAAACATCCACGTTTGTACATAATATGTTTCCGTGTTTTGTATGTAAACTCTTTAAGACCTTTTAGAAGTGACAGTGTTTTAATGTTTTTGTACAAGATCTGATGATGAAGACTTAGTCTTCGAAACGCGTTATCCGTAACAAACAGGATCACTCTGGCAGTACTCAGGTAATTTTATACCTTTTATAGTACTTAAAATGTATTACCTACGTATTACTTTCAATGTATAATTATTGATTTCCTTTAGACAAACATGAATCTCTAGAGGTGGTATTTGTGATGTGTTTGTAAAATAATAGTCTTTACCATAATTTCCCCCTTAGTTTATATCTGCTATCAAAGGATTTCACCATCGTCGTAACTTCATAATTGAATAATAAACTGAATCTGAATTGGTCATTATGAATCACAAGTTTATAAAGAAAAGGCCTAATGAGGTTTGCCCTTCAGATTTCTATGCATTTTACCATTTACTACAGCTTCTTCCCTATTTGGTACAGCAAATGTTCTATTTTATTAAAACGTTTTTATTAGCTAACTTTCTTGTCCGTTACCATTTTTAAAAGAACTGAATTTCACTACTTTTTCTCTTAGGAGTGAATCATTAGAAAGGGATTATTTCTTATCAATGACCTAACAGTTCATTGTGAAATGCATCAATCATTTTCTGTTTACCTCGTATGTGAGGTGTTTCTTTGATGAAGTGGTTTATTTGTCTGTAGAGGCTGTCAATTATTGATACAGGCTTGTCATTGACGTATAAAGTGTTGAGAAGGGTACAACACATAATCAGTTTCATCATGGATTTAACAACTATCACCATCTTGGTTTTAATACTAGCAGGTAAGTTTATTTGATATTTTACATAGATAACTTTTAAGACATTAAAATTTCTTATAACAATGATCTCTATTTTTTTATCCGTCATTTTCCAGAGCCATTCGATTTTGTACTGTAACTCCTTTTGTTTTGCCTAAAGAAATCGAAATCTCGTATTATTCTTCGTTTAGCCTGCCATCCATTTTACTTTGTTGTTTTAACCATTTTCAAACTTCGAATATCATAAAACTGTTACTTAAATTGTCTATACCCTGAACTATGTAGTAGGCTAGTACAATACTAGAGTGTCACAATATTATAAACCTATATTATGATGTATAAATGATGTAAAAATAGTAATGTCCTTTTAAGATAGAACGATTGCAAAACAAATAAAAAATTGGATTACTTTTGCTGTTGTGACCTGTAGTTCTTTTAATATGGATAAAGTTAAATCTTTTAAAAGCCAAATACAAAGTAAGTGTGTAATGAAAATCCCGTACCTTATTGATTGAATGATACATGCAGCTATTCATCCCATCCAATGTCACAACAAATAACACAAACAAACAACAAAAATGAATATCCAATTTATTAATACTGTTTAATACTTTTAATACTTTTCAATGAAATGGCGACCATACAAATTAGGTATTTTAAGCCAAGTATGAATGGAGATAAGTGTAAGATGGGTGTCGCGATCTTGTAGTCTTGTTAGTGACTAAGGCCGTCATATTCCTTAGGCACAGCTGTAATTAATAGTCCATACGGCTAATGGCAATAGGGACCTACAGTTTATAGTGGAATCCGAACCTCATTTTTGCCTTTGGTATATACCACGATTACTAGCAAAATACCGGTATGGATCATAAGCATAAACAAATGACGTTGTTGGCCTGAATCCTGTACTAATAGCATTGAACATATTATGTTTTGGCAGTTCCATTTAAGCAATGTTAAAAAATGTTTATTTTCGGACCAAAAACGTCATTTGTTTATGTTTATGATCCATACCGGTATTTTTTCTAGTAATCGTGGTATATACGAATTAGTCTCGACTTCATCTTGAACTTAAAAAAAGTTTGTCTCGAGCCGACAAAACCTCATTAGCGGTCCTAGGTACGAAATATACTATTTCGTGTAGCTGAGCTAATCCCCGCCTAAACGCTAATGGCTATTATGTGTGATGATTCCACAACTCGGATGCGCATAGACCACTTTACACTTTAACTTGTATCATGAAAACATAAATAAGTAGCCTGTATTAGATAAAAATGTACCTGTATCTTAGGACATATTTTACTTTAAAAATACATTATTTGCAGCTTCTTCGTATACATTACCTACAACAAAGGATCCACTAATCATTGCTGGTGACATTGAAATCAAGGTTACGAATGGGAAGGTTACATTTTCTCTGATGAACAAAGGTAAGGAACAGTGACATTATAAATGGTTTCATATAATAGAATTACTAAGAATGGTTCTAGTTTTACCATTGACTATACACCGAGTCAATGGCTCTTCTAAACGCAAAACTTTTATTTTTGCTGTTATTTTCGCAATTTGCATTTATTAAGTTTTGTGTAAGGGAACGGTACAGACCTTCTGTTTGATAGCACCATTGACAGCCCAATGACAAATGGCATCTGTGAATGATAACCATATCGCTTGTAATCGAACCAGCGACCTTCAGATTTAAAGGCGATTACTAAAACCACTTGGCTTTCTAGACTATTAGACCATTGGTAAACCTCTAGATATTTTATGACAAAACATTGAAGAAAGTTCACTTTGATTTATTTTCAAGTGTTTCCATAATAACACCTACAAAATACCCCAATTATAATACTGTACATCATCGCCTAGATCGAGTTGTGTTTTAATATCATTTGGCTATTTCATGAAAATAAATCCCGGACATTTAAACTTGAAATAATTATATACTACATAGATTGTAGAAAATCTTGGAGATCAATTATAATGAGATCAATAAATCATGGGAAATTAAGTTGTACAGTTTCCCACTTTTATATTTTTCAAACGAGAAAAATTGGTGAAATTGACAAAAGTATTTTAATAATGGCAATAATAAAAAAATACTGACATACTTATACTTTTAACAGGTAACGGTGCAATATTGAAAGGGCAGCTAGGTGTTTCTTCGAACCCAGAATACAAGGTTAACCCAACTCTATGTACCGACGACGCAGACTGCATTCAATTTGGGAAAATCAAATTGAAGGCCGTAAAAGACGGTCAGTGCTATAACTTCAACTGGACAACTTCAGGCAACCTCACATTAGGCGACTGCTACGACTACGGCTCGGACAACTGGTATGGCGGCCCAGAGAATAATGTACAATACTGGCCCTTCAACAACATGACCTTCAAAGACTTCTCTTACATCACCAAGATGGAGGCAAACCAAGGCGTAGCTGAACCTTACTGGGTGACGTCATCGGGCTTTTACATCTACGTAGACAAGAAATCTCCTTTGTTTATAGATGCCAACAACGAATATACCAACGGACTTTGCCTCATCGCTAAACAATACCCGCCGTATCTCCCAAGAGGAGGAACCTACCTGGGGTACAAAGTTTGTGCATACGACGATGCAAGGGAAGCACACATGAACGCGGTAAAACATGATTTGGGCTCGCCTACGGGTATACCAGACCCTAGGATGATTAAGCATCCAGTATGGAGTACCTGGGCTAGATACAAGTTGTTGGTCAATGAAACAGCCGTGAAGCAGTTCGCTCAGGATATTGTAGACAACGGGTTCAACAACAGTCAGCTGGAGATAGATGATAATTGGGAAACCTGCTATGGATCGTCACAATTCAACACGAGTAGGTTCCCAAACATGCCGTCACTTGGAAAATACCTTCACAAGTTGGGGTTCAGAATCACCTTGTGGAATCATCCATTCGTCAACAAGAATTGTCCACTTTTCAGCACGTTGCAGGATGATGGCTACTTGGTCAAAGATCAAAGTGGGAATGTGGTGAGTACTTGGTGGGACGGCGAAGCTGGAGCGGTGGACTTTACCAATCCTGACGCAGCTAGGTGGTTCCTCAACTATCACCGGGATATGATGGCGAACAACCATATTGACGGACTCAAGCTGGACGCTGGAGAGTCTAGTTGGCTTCCTCAGGTTAGTTTGTGTAAAATTTTGTTTTAGTTTATCCTTCGTAAAACTGGGCTGTCCAACTTCCAGCTAAATGCTGTTTAACTTAAGTAATCTTTATTGACGTTTAAATACATAGTAAAGATCGCATGTATAGACTAAGGCTAATATATTTAAAATATCATAAGCATTTTACAAGGTGTGCTGTTGTGAACAGTTTAATCCCCAGAAACCGTTTGTAAGATATGCATCTTTGGTATGAACAGATTTTATGACCAATAGTAGTCTGGTGGTAGATGTTGTTAAAAAATGTCTTATAATTAATTTGTCTTACTGCAGATACTGACTACCAGTATTAGTCAATCAATCACTATTACTCATACTCCTCGACCTTCTAGGCCTACTTAAAAACAGACTAACAAGTATTTCACAGCAATATTCAAGCATGTACTAGTCTATATTGTCTTTGTTGTACACAGAACAGACCCAATACTGCAGATCTACATTTATGACCAACACGTGTCATCAATCTCTTCCGTATATTATCTTATTATATTATAAATATTTCTCAACTTCCTAGACACCCTTTGTCTTTTGAATCTGTATCCAAAAGACCATGAAAACATATTCTTAACAAACGCTTTACCAACTGTTCTTACCTCCGAACACATTGTGTGATGGCTGATAACTGATGAGATAAGCAATACTCGTGTTAATTTTCATACAATCCAATTTATCAACCTTGCAGATCCCCGTTCTGAACTCAGACCCAGAAGACCAGCCCAATTCGTACTCCTCAGCCTATACCAGAACCGTCGCCCAGTTCGGTGATCTCACAGAAGTGCGAGTTGGTCATGGTACCCAGGATCTCCCCATCTTTGTCCGGATGCTGGACAAGGACTCCAAGTGGACGTTTGAGAATGGTCTACCCACTCTGCTGACCACGTTGTTTCAGTTGAATCTTAACGGATACACTCTAGTGCTTCCGGACATGGTGGGAGGCAACGGTTATGGTCAGGATGTCGTCACCAAGGAATTGCTCATCAGATGGTTGCAAGCCAACACCTTCATGCCGGCAATACAGTTCTCTATTGCTCCGTTTGACTTTGACGAAGAGGTTAGTACTATTGCTTTTAAGATTTTTTTCTTCTCTTTACTTGTAAAACAGTAGCCAAATGTATCCCAATGTATGCCCATATAGTACTTATGGAATATTGTACGCATAGCCTTCCCGAGCTAACATTGACTTATTTTATTGAGCTTATACAGTACCAAGTGGGTAAAGCAATGCGTAAGTTTTCTAGCTAAGAAGCCTTTCAGGGATTTATTTACACTAATGTAGAGAAAAACCAACAACAATGCTACCTACTGTTTTACTAGATTTTTTTATCTACGCCAGAGGCATTTCACGAGAGAGTCACAAGAGAATAAATGTTTAGTGGATGTGACGGGGATTGAACCCGTCCCTCCCGCACCGAAGTCCGAGACGCTAACCACTAGGCTAGCAACACAACCATTATATTAAAGTATAATTATTAGTATAATTATATTAATGTTGTTATTACCTATTGCTGTTATCTTTATCCTTGAGCCACATATTCAAGAACAGAATCAACAACAACGAGGAAATAATCAATTTAATATAACAATGCTTTGCTTTAAGTCATTTTTACATTCGTCATCTTTGCTCTTTTTATAATGCCTATTATGGAAGTATAATCACTATATTATACCTTTGTATGATTTAAATCCTGGGGTTTTAAGAGTTGTAATATGAAAGGTGTCTAATACATTAAAGGATTGATTTCTTCTTTTCCTTTGTAACTTTGCTTTAAAAAAAAATCTACCTACCAGCTACAACAATGGTAGGCATTTTAAAGAAATATTTAATTAAATTTTGATTTCAGATTAACAATTTTAGCAGTACAGTGTAAAATTTTCCCTTTTACTCTATTGACGCAGTAGTGATATTCAATTAAAGTGCACTCTCGGGGCAGTCAATGTCGAACATTTTATAGAGCGATGTCCCCCCCATCCATCTCTAACGCCCTGAATTGTAGAGCAAGCATCGGTAGCTTTCCTTATAGGTGGAACGCTAAAAGCTAATGAATTTGCACTCCTTTTACTGCAGCTAAATCAAAAGGAAGCTGCTATTTGTTCCACAAAATATCTTATTTTATGGATTGAAAACATCTATTAAACACAAATATCCATGCAAATAGTTAAAAAAATATTTATTTCAATATAAAATTGCAGTTACTTTGTAAACAATATTTTTTTTCTTTGGAATGTAGCTAAAGAGAGAAATTTTGGTCTTGAAGAAATTGTAACAAGTTTAACGGTACTAATAACTTAGATATAAAGTACCGGGGGAACCGCCTTTGCTCGGATTCAATAAAACATTTATTAAATAAGTTAATTATTGAATTGACACTTTTGCAAACCTTCTCATTGCCCATACTGGATTTGGATAGTTCCGTTGTTTATCTTTACAGTTTCAGCATTAAGTATAGCAAGGGTTGCACGGTATTTCATATTTTCGAATATTGTCTGCTTGCGATGTTGGTGCATAACGCATATTCAATAAAATAACTCTAATCCACCGACATGGCAACTTTATAGGTTTAAGGAATATTAGACTTCATTGGGCTGACGTTCAACCAAACTGCGCTGATGTCGAGCAGTGATTATTCGACTCTCCTGCCCAAAATGATCAGCCTGTTTTTCATCAGATTGCTCGGCCATAAGATCTAAAATTATTTCACTACTTTCGGTCTTCGATGCGTGACTTGTCCAAGGTTCTGAGACATTTGGTGAGGTGTATAAGCTGATTGGATCTGGTCCGGTTGTAAACTTGTTTCTCGATGATCGATTGCAGAGTCTCTCCCTTGCAAATTCTGTAAATAGTTCCGCTTTGGAAGTCTTCCGCGTATAATTTTTAACCTCAAAAATTAACCTTGAAAACCTTCAACACTAATAATTACCTAATAAATTACCTAAATACAACTATTCAATGCTTTGTCAAATTAACCAATGCAGTTATTTTTGTTTAAACGTCAATTTAAATTATGACAGTAAAAATTAACTGTAACAGCTGTTTTATTAACTGTAGCTACAAAAAGGTATTGACGTAAGGTATTTTATGGACCCTTTTTTTACCAGCCTTGTAACTAACCCTAATGGATTTGTTACAATGGACCCCAATGGACTAGTGGCCAAATACCCCATTCTGAACAAAAAAATTTAAAATCGTCGGACGAAAATAAAAGTTTGTCCGTACACGCACTTGTTTTAGATTATTGGATTAAAGGCGGATAGCTGAGAGGCTATACATCTCGCCTGGTAAAAAGAAGGTTCCCTATTTGATCCTGACAAAAGTCAGTAGTTTGAAGTAGTGGTGAACCCAGAAAGATAAGTCACTTTAGGCGTTTTTTCCCATAAGAATAACATGGGGATCATTTTTTGGCCACCAAAACCAAAAATCCTGATCTTTGCCTACATATCCCTATAAAATTGTCAAACCTTATTTCTTACTTATTCCTCATAAATATATTCGAAGTAGTGGTGAACCCAGAAAGATAAGTCACTTTAGGCGTTTTTTCCCATAAGAATAACATGGGGATCATTTTTTGGCCACCAAAACCAAAAATCCTGATCTTTGCCTACATATCCCTATAAAATTGTCAAACCTTATTTCTTACTTATTCCTCATAAATATATTCGATATTAAGCTAAAAAAGCTATTTCTTATATTTATTGACCCTTACAAGTGTAAATGTAGAGTAGTGGCGAACCCAGAAAGAGCCATCACTTTAGGCACGTTTTCCCCATAAGAATAACATGGTGAGCTTTTTTTGACCACTTTTTTTAAAATCCAGCTCTCGGCCTATACAAGCCTATATAAATGTTCAATACCATTGTATAACTTCATTACTATTTCAAATCCACATGCATTCACATGTATATTCTCAAAATCATCAACTTGACAGTGTGAGGTTTGTACGCGAACTCATGCGTGCTCCCAGCTCATGGCGCGCTCCCTTGGACATCCTTAGTGGAAATCCATGAATTCTGGCTACTTGGGAACCCAAGCCATTTGACATATAATAAATCACCTTTTCTCCTAATAACCTTTTCTATCAAATACATGTCTTTATATTTGGTCTTTAACAATTCCTCTGTATAGAAGCCTCCCCTGATTATATTACCATTTTCATCTTTCAAGATATAAGTCACAGGCTTTGTATTCTTTACTTCTGCTATTGTAAATAGCTCCCCTGTCCAATTCGGGGCATATCCTTTACTAAAAACATGTTTATACTTGGAAATTCTCACACTATCACCTACCTTATATCTTGGCTTTTTAACTTGCACTACTTTAGAAGTCAACCTCTCATGCACATATTTACTGTTCTTAATATTCACTTGGTTAGGCTTCATTCCTATAGATCTATGCACCTTATTATTATATTTTTGAATTAACTTTGGAAGTAAATCCAACCATTTATAACTCCCCTGAGCACTAAATTCCCTATATAACCAATTCTTTAAAGTTCTCTGAAACCTCTCCACAATTGCAGCCTTAGTTGTAAAAAATGAGTGATAGTGATTAATATTTAGTTTACTAAAATATTGATTAAAAAATTCTTTTCCATTGTCAGATTCAATGTTTTTAACCCCCTTTGGTAGAATGGTTTTAATGGCTTCTGTAACCACCAACCCTGTCTTATTCTTTATTGGAGCAGCATAAGCTTTTTAAGAAAATGTATCTATTAAAGTTAAAATATATTCATTGCCAGATTTTTTACCATTTTGCTATATCTCAAATAGTTTTCGAGATATAAGTATTTTAAAACAATATTATGGACTTAAAAATGTCAAAATGTGCAAAAATGTCAAAAAGTCTGGACTTTTAAAATTTTCGTGATAACTGTTATTTGTACCCATATAAAATAATGTTAAAATTGTTTTTGAATTTTAGATTTTTTATGTTGTAATATTGTTTGTAATCAAAAGTTGACACCCACTATGTGTGCCAGAATTTCAACCGTTTTGCCATATCTCAAGCCGTTTTCGAGATATAAGCATTTTTAAACAATATTATGAGCTTAAAAAATTTTAGGTGAGTAAACATGTCAAAAACTATGAATAAGAAAGTTCTATCTTTTGATGATGACGAGAGGCTTATTCTGGAAGATGACATTAATACTCTTGCTCTTAGTAATTATAAATTGATCAAACTTAAATCTATAATTGCAATTATTATTTAGCCTTTCAGTAGTGGCAATATGATGGTATGACCCCACTTTAGGCGTTTTCCCATAAGAATAACATGGTGATCATTTTTTGGCCACCAATTCCAAAAATCCTGATCTTTGCCCACATATCTCTATATAATTGTCAAACCTTATTTCTTACTTATTCCCCATAAATTTTACATAAGTTGTGTCAAATCGTGTAAAGTTGTGTCAAATTGTGTGAAATATGTGTGATAAAGTACACACGAATTCACATCACAGTCACAGTGAAATTCACAATGCATGTGAAATTTCATTTATAGTTTCAGAAATTGTGTAAATTTGTGTGAAAATTATAAAAGTTGTGTGAATTGTGTGTGATAAAGTACACACGAATTTACATCACAGTCACAGTGACATTCACAATTCATGTGTAATTTGTGAAAATAGTATGAAATGTGTGTGATGAAGTACACAAGTACACAAAAAATTCACATCACAATCATAGTTAGTTGTTGTATTTGATGATATGAATAGTCCAAATATTACACCATTTTTGTCAAAAGGTCGACATAAAAATATTGACTGTTTTTACTTGTGTAAATCTTGCAGCAAAGTACACAAACATTTATGTGATAATGTAAATTTCCTAATATTATCCAAACAAGACGATTTAAGTTTTAAAACATGTGTATCACAATCATGTTGGTAATGACGTTTCATTTAACCAATTTAGCGATCTCTTCCTCTAAAATTTGGATAAAACTAAATATGGCTTTTTCATAAATAGACAACGTGCTTAAAGTAGGGTCTCTTTGCTAGTTCGCCACTACTTTACATTTACACTTGTAAGGGTCAATAAATGTAAGAAATAGCTTTT